AAACTATATTTTTTTTCTTTTATCGTCTTTTTGAAATGAGGCATACATGCAACGACGACGGTGTGAGAGGACGCACTACGTTTCTGCACGCCAAATAATATAATATATATATATATATATATGTATAAAGGTATTCCCCCGTGAGCATCCAGTGAGTGAGACTTTGTCCCTATCTTTTCTCTCTCCCCCTCCCCTCCCCTCCTTTTTTTTTATTGCAGAAGGTGCTACTTTCCGTTTCACGTCACCCTGCAACCGTTGACTCCGTCTTCCCGTGCCTCGTCTTCAAAAGAGCAAGGGAACCGCTCAACGGTCGATTGACGCCGTTGGCCCACTCCACTATAATTTCCGCCGCAGATTCAAGGGGCGTCCATGAACTTGTGTCAGCGTGGGGCATAGCCTGCCTGTTTGCAGACGTATCGAGAACCGTGGGAAGAAGAGCCAACACGCACGCCCCCTCCGGCAGATGTGATGGACCTGCAGCGAGAGACTTTGTCAAATGATGCACACCCGCCTTCACCACTCCGTAACCCAACATGTTGGGTGTTGGACGGAGGGCAGCAGCTGCCCCTGGCAATAAAAGCAAGCAGCCCTTGCCCCCGCGCTGCGAAGCCAGGTGGGCAGCAGCCATGGAGGAGAACAAGGACTGACGAACCAGAGACTCAAATACCTCACAGGTGGCACTGTCATCGATAGTACCACCCGCCCAGCCCCCAGCAACGTTGATAACAGCATCCAGCACCACACCTTTCGCGACGGCGTCAAGCATGGCCCTTTGTTGGGATTCCAAAGAAGCCGTTGCGTCCACAACGATATGTGTGTAGAAGTCTGGTAAAGGATTTTTTGAAACGACATCCACCCCAATTACGTTCCAATGCCTTTCTAGTAGTGAATTGGTTACGGCCTGCCCAAGTGCACCGCATGCACCCAATACCAATCCGCGCTTTGGAATCATCTCCACCTTTCCCATCAAAGGAAAAAAAACAAAAACAAAGGGAGGGGAGGGGGAGGGGAAAGGAGGGGAGAGGAGAAGAACGTCACCGCAGCATTGTTAATTCGCCAAGTAATCATAAAGGGCAACAATGTAGAGATGCCTTGAACGCACGTGTGCATCTATACGTTTCTATTTACACAGGCAGCACAGCAACGGCGTGTTTTTGTGTGCGGGTTTAGGACAGATGCCACATGCACCCATAGAATGGAATTTGGATGTACGACGATGGGTGCCACCACACAGCTGCCCCTATCTGGCACCGCACCTATACTCACAGACACAAATCCCAAAAAATAACCAACGACTTTCCATGCTCCGCAAAATAGTAATAACAAAAATAATAATAATAAATAGAGGAAGATGAAACACAAAAAGCAAAAACACAACGCTGGCGAAGAAGCACAACTACTACCCACCATCTCATTCCTACTAATGTGATCTACCTACGGTCCGGGTGAATGTCACTAACAAAAGTTTCTCCCTCTAGAATTATGAGTTCCTGGGCCTCACGTCGCAGTCTCATGCGGCGCAGAGCCTCCTCGCGAGCCCAATCCATGCGACTGTTGAGCTTAGAGTAGTACGCCCATATGGAAAACTCTGCGCATACGATACAAATGGAAATATGTCATATGTTCTCCCACAAGGGCCAATCGTTCCACTGGTAGCGGAACGTCGCCCGCGGGGTCTACGGGTACGGGTCACCGTCCCCCCATGCGAGGCGACTAAACTTGGAGTGGTGAAAGGCAGCCCTGGCCATTTTTTTGGTTCCACCCTGTCATTTGTCCCGTCGACAGTCGCCGTTCTGCGTGGGAGCAATGTCAAACCCAAAAAAAAAAAACTCACATTTGAATGCAGAGCTAAAAACAAAACAAAAAGGATAAAAGAAGGCAACAACTATTTTCTCTCCGAAGGCATTCTCTTCCCGCAGAGAGAAAAAGAAGGATGTTCCTGAGGCGCCGCCAGGACAACCGTCGCCCGCAAAGGAAGAGGGGTGTCGCACACGATTTATGCCACGCAGACAAAAGGGGAACAGCAGAAGAAAATGGGAATCCTATTTTTTTTTGTATTTTTCTGCTTGCTTCTTTGTTTGTTTTTGTTTTCGTTTCAGATGTTGGTGTTCTCGCCTGTTGGTTTTCTCGGAGTTGTGTGCAGCTGGCAGGGAACGTCCCCCCACCACTCCACACTGGCACAGGCAGAGAGAGACACACAAACTCTCTCTGCCTCTCTTTTTGTTTCTCTCTCACTCTCTCTCACACACACAAACAAAAAGAGTTCTATCAATAAAATATGCACGCTTAAAACAGAGCGAGAACAGAAAAAAAAAAAGGAGAAAATGAAAAAGGAAAAAGAGTGTTCAAGAGCTATTCCTCCTCTAAGCTCGATTCACAAGACCAGCTGACTCCGCACCCAAAACGGCAATTTTGCATACCGGGCACACCGTCCCTTTATGTTCCAAATGTGCAGGGGCGTGGCAGTAGCTGCAGTGTATTGGATCAGCCGTTCCCTTGTATATCGGACGATGTGAGACGGAGCAGAGGAAGAAGGGATTGCGTTCATCATAGTCCAACACCCACGCGTCTTTCGGGTTTCGTTCCGCCTCAGCTACAATTGCGGCCGCCTGGTTCGCCTTCGTCTTTGGAGGATCTTGATCAAGCAGGCGTCTGGCCACCGCTGCAGCGGTTTTAATGTTCTTCAGCTTGTACGCTTTGCTCATGGCCTGGGAGAGAGCCAAGGTGAGGTGCGGGCGCTGAAGCTTAAAGTGTGTAAAGTAGAGAGAGAGCTCCAGAGTCTCTTTGGAACTCCCGTCTAGGCTGCGGCAGTGAAGTTGGACACTGAGCGCACGCGCGTATTCCGAGGCAATCGTCGTAAGCTCAAGGAGAGCTGCACGCTGCCTTTCATCCTTGACTGTGGCAAACACAGCTTGATGCATGATCCCCAGAAACTGGGCTTGGGCTTCCACAAAGCGACCCTCCACAAACGCCGCGTATCCGGCCCGAAGTTTCTCCGTTAGCACTGGAATGTAGTCCGGTAGCAGAGGAGCGTGACGGGCACCCCGCTGCTCATCAGGCGGACACGTAGACAAAGGAAAGACGGCCGATGGGACGAGCCACGACGGTCGCGAGGCGTTCACAGAAACCCACAAGTCCATCGCGTACGGCTTCAGTGGCGCCGGGTCACACAAACCGATTTGGCGTCGCAGCAAATCAAAGGCCGTCAAAAATGAGCCCGCCGCTACGTGGAAGGCCGGAAGGGAATACTTTTCCACCCAGTGCTGGGAAAGTGGGGGGTTCTCCACGGGTGCAGCGTACGCCACCTTTTGTGCTGCCTCCGCCACGTACTCTTCTGGCGCCTGAATGTCAAGGTCATCATCCCACCCCCCGCCCTCTACCTCTCCCTCCTCCTGCTCCTCACCCATGCCCGTGGCCTCATTATCGTCTTCGTCCCACCCAGCACCTGCGTGTTCCTCAGCCTCGTCATCCTCATCATCCCCAAGCGCGGCCTGGACGCCGTCAAAATGACCTGGCTCCTTTAAAAGACGCGCAAACATGGATTCCTCTACCTGTAGCATGGGCCAATTCTCAGTCACAGGGGCAGGTGTGGAGAGTTCTGGCACACGATGAACCTCAACCTGCAACATGCGTTCAGACACCTCAGGGTCCATTTGAGCACAAAGTGCGGACGCCACATCATCCAGGCCGTTTGATTTAGCCGTCAGATACGCCAGTGGAAGTTGACCCGCTTTTGCTAGTATCTGTACCCGTTGCTTCGCATCGCTAAGGTACAAGCCATAGTGTAACTTGAAGTTATCATCGTCGGTTGTGTCCACTAAATGACCCAAAGCCGCCATGTTTCCCGTCATCAAAGATAACAATGCCCCACCATAAAAATTTGACGTTTTTGAATGGGCAAACTGCGCCAGCTGAATGTCACCGTACATTGTCGCCGCCTCGGCCAAGCGTCTCCAAACAAAAGCCTGGTTCAGCTCAATGGCAGTCGTTTTGGCGATGTCCAACGCCCCACACTCTACTGCCAGGTTAAACCGCGTGAAGGGTTCTGTCACGAAATGCAGTGCAATTTCAGAGTGTCCATGTTTATGTAGGTACCCCACAAGCGCCTGCCCTTGCAGCTGCTTACGCTGAATAATTTTGATTACATCGCGGTAGGCCTGTTGCTGAAGCTTCAGTTTAAAATTAAGTTCCTGGTTATCCAGCTCCTGCATCATCACCTTTCCCTCACGCGTGAGCATCCAAATGGTGTCCCCGCTTGCTCGCACAAGATACGCTGGACTCTGCATAGACTGAATTGTACTGCACTCCCCCGTGCGAAGGTTACAATAATTTAGGTGATTGGAGGTTGTGTAGTACAAAATATTGCGCTGCTCATCAAACGCAGCCGACTTCATGCGCACCGTTGATGTCACAATCGTTGTTATAAGTTTGAGGCGCTTGGTCGTGACGGTGATCATATTTTTTGATATCAACGCCACCTTGTTAAAGTCCTTGTCCCAGACGACGTACCTGATGCCGCTCGCAGCCGCCTGTGCCGTCACACTGTGCTGAGCCATGTGATATACCTCAATCTCTTCCTCCGTGAGGCACAAAACAGACCCCATTGGGCCTGGGAAGATGCGCTTACAACTGTGCTCCGGGGTGATCAACTTGTCCCGATTCCCTTGCCAATTGCAGACGACCATGTTTTTGCTCTTGTCCACAAATGCATACTTGTTGGGGGCAAAGAACACAGCGTCGGTGACGTTGAGACGTTTTTTGACGTCTGCGTCAACGGCGCAACCAGGCTTGGGGATTGTGAAGGTCTCGGTCATCCCGCCATCGTTGTCGTACCACAGCACAGCCACGTTATCCACAGGGTTACAGGAGATGGTGCGAGGTGGGTGGAGGTGCTGGGTGAGGTTAAACTTGGACTCCACCTTTGTCTCAAAGTTGTAGGTGTACAATGCGTTTTCGTAGACGTAGTGGAGCTGCTTCCCGCTCACCGCCCACGCTGGTCGCTCGCGAAAGAGCTTAAACACCTGTATCCCTGAGTCGTGGCCGGCGGCGATGAGTCTCCTCTCGGGGAGCGTCGCCAAAATCCAGTAACGGTCAGTGTCGCGGCGAAACACCATGATCGCATTGCGGGACTTCACGTCCCACACACGAATGGTGCGATCCTCAGAATTGGACAGGATAAAGTCTTTCATGTACACTACGCAGCACACATTATTAGTGTGCCCCCGCAGCTGCAGCTCCTCGTGGCAGGAGGACTCCATCATGCGCCAGATACGCACGGTTCGATCGTCCGAGGCGGAGGCGATGTACGGCTTGGTGGGGTGGAAGCAGACCCAATTGACCCCCTTCTCGTGACCCTCAAGCAGATACTTGAGGGTCACGTCACTCGTGCCAAGCAGGTCTTGGGCCAGACCCACCTCCTGCTTGCGCAATCGCAGCGAAGAAATGTCCCAGACGCGGATGGTTCTATCCAAACTTCCCGAGACCACCAAGTCCTCCCGTGGGTGGAATTGGGCGCACATGACGTAGTGGTTGTGCCCAGGCAGGCACGCAACGCTGCTGCGACTTTGCCAATTCCAAATTCGGACCGTAAAGTCATCCGAGCAGGAGAGGATCCAAGGCTGCTCGTGGTGAAAAAACGTCACGCGGATGTAGTCCATGTGTCCCCGCAGCGTAAAGAGGCAGCGGCGCAGCTTGTAGTTCCACACCTTTATCAAGAAATCATCGGCTCCAGAGACAAACAGGGGCTGGGAAATGTGAAAATCAACACCACGGACAGAGCCGCTGTGTTCTCTGTACATGTCAATCGACATGTTTATGCGGTAATCCCAAATCTGAACTGTTCCGTTGTGCAGACCGCAGAGCACCCATGGCCGCGACTTGTGAAAGCTGATCCCCTTCACCCGACAGGACCGAACGTCAAACTTGGTAAGCATCCCTACAAATGTAACTTCAACACTTGCGGCCAATTGTGGCCAATGACGCCCACACACACACACACACACACACAGAGAGAGAGAGAGAGAAGGGAGGGAAAGTGAGAAAAATGAAGACGACGGCGACGAGGCAAGAAACCAAAATAAATGCATATGTGCACAAACGCATAACGGCAAAATAAATTTTTTAAAAAAAAAAAATTATGTGAGCTGCGGAAAAAAAAACACAAACGGTATCCAGTCATTGATGTTTGTGATTATTTTTTTTTTCGTTTCCTTTTCCCTCCGCCTTTCCCCTGCTAGCCGCCACCCCACACCCTCCTCTCTCCGTCTTTTTTGTTTGTGCCTCTGGTTCTTTTGTTGCTGCTGTTGCTTGCCAGCGTTTGTTTAATTTCTCTCCGCCTACGATTCGAAGATAAACTTGCAGCTGTCCGAATACACCTGCCTCACGTTTATGTTAATTCGCATGTGACGCATCTGTGCCCGCCAGTAGGCATCATCGTCATCGACATCTTTGCCGCCCCCGTGCGGCTCATCTTCGTGCTCCTCGGAGCGCGAGCACAGATGCGTCGGACAGTCATCCATGATGCGTGGGATGGAGTGAAACGCCACACGTGCGGGTCCGGAGAACACCGCAACATCTCCACTCCGCAGCCAAAAGGCATAGGGTGCCTCCTCCCGCGAGGCGGTCCCCATGAGGAAGACGCACGAGCACCCCAGCGAAATGCTAATTAAAGGCTGCTGCATCGACTCCTCACTCACGTCTTGGTGAGCCATCATCATCGACCCCACTGAAAAGTAGTTTACAATTGCCGTCTGGGGCTCGTAGGTGGACACGCTGGCACCGCTAAGCTCCGGGATGCATCCACACATGTGCAGTATGTCATCTATGCGACGCCGCAGCGCCAATGGAAAGGGCGAGTAGCGTCCGCGGCTGTACGTCTTGGTGGTCCAGTCGTAGCTGAATCCAAGCGTTGCCCAGCGCATAGGCGCCTCGTACCGTGTCGTGCACTTTGGCTCACTGACGTGCGTTGAAAGGTGATTGGGGTGCTGCCTGGAGTCAGCATACTTCAGTACCGCATCCCGGCAGAGCGCCTGCTGCTCCTCTACAGGAATGCACTCGGGAAAAAGTAGCAGCCCCGGCACGGAGGTGAATGCAAAGCACCGTGCCTGCGAGTCACCCAGACCTTGGACGCTGCGAAGGCGCGAGCGGTTATGCTCCGTGTTTGCGTCGGGGTGCCGAACGTCCACCACGTCGTTGAAGTCCGTCTCAGGCATCATCTGGCGACGCGCGGCACGTCGGTCAAGGCGGTATAACTTGTAGCGTTTTTCTGCCCGCCTGAACGGCGTCAGTGCGAGACTCTCACCACCTGCATACTGCGGCGAGGCGGACTCCTGCTGCATCGCCGCTTTCACCTTTGCCTCACAAGGCAGAGAAGGAGCAGCGCAAAAACAAAAGAAATTCAAAAAAAAAAACACTGACAGCAGAGCGCAGCATACAAAAGACTGTGCCACGACAGAAAACGTAATGGGGCGCCGGACAGCCATTAGCTCACAGACAAGTGAGCCTACACGGTGACGAGGACAAGAAACAACACCAAGCAATGAAAGCCACTTTTCTCCCATGCCGGCAGCTCTCTTGCAAAGATCATCAATGAAAGAACATTTGAGAATAATAATAAAATAAAAAAAAAAATCTCCTCCAACCGCCCCTCACAGTTTCTCTCTCAATATGGTCCCGCGCCCCCTCCTCTCTTCTTCTGTGCCCACACACTCCACGGCGCCACTTCCAAGCAGTCTGTTTCGCCATTAAACCATGCGATATAAGCGTGCGTACATGTGTGTAAGGAAGATGGCAACATTAGAAACGTAATAATCGTAATAACCGACAGACAAAAGGACAGTCTCTCTGTCCGTGCTCATAAGCATGGACGATAAGAAAATAAAATAGGCCTACAAGGCTGAAGGCCCCACCATGCACGGTTAAGTAGTTGGTCCGCCAGTTGCTGACTCTCGCCATGCCCCTCCTCAGAGGAGGGTGCGAGGAAGCGCATGCATGGCAACACGCCCTCCCAATGATGCACAGCACCACACCACAGTACTTTTACACGGCTTCCTCGGCCAGCTGGACGTGCACGCGTTTCTCCGCATTGACGCGATTCAGCAGCGCCGTTCCTGCCAAAGTGGGTGTCCACATGTGGCGAAAAACATCATTCTTCGTCATTCGGAGCGCCGTGTTTCGCCTTCGCTGCAACGAGTGCATCCCCCTCCAAAGCTGAAACCAATAGACGGCGCCTAGCAGGGTTGTGAAAGACGCCCCGTAGCACAACAAAAATAAAAGAATAAACGTCACAGGCCGCATTTTCGAGGCGAACCACCACTCCTTCGTCAGCAGCAGCAGCAGTCTTTCACGAAGCAAGCGATGGGCAAATACCTCCTTCAACGATGCCAGCGCCATCACACTGGCATACCCAGCAAACAACCACATGAGACAACTTACACATGTCAAGAAGGATATAAAGAACCCAATGTTCCGCTCCCCAACACACACCCCTAGAATGCCACAGTGATGATCGTATCCCCGCACGTAATGCTGACAAACTGGACAACAATAAACCTCCCCGCCCTCGGCATCGTCGGTGAATCCGGGATCGCAGAGAAACAAACTGATCATTGTCCATTCGCTCAAAACAGCAAGTACTATGATAATACATGTGAGTAAAAGCATGGCAGTGTATGGTACCAACTCTAACACCAATGGACTAAAGGCCAAAACTCGGAGACACACTAGAGTACCTACAGGAATGATAAAAATAAAAAATATGCCTGGTGGAAAGTCCCAAGCAACGTTGAACCGACCAAAGAGAACGGCCCGTCGAGCCGGGCCAAGCATAGTTGTTTCCTGCACTCTCTACCTTTGCACAACGCGGCAGAGGGAAACGAGAAAAGAGGGCGGCGCAAGATGCGTTTGAGCAGGGAAGAAAGTAAGAGATGCGATGTAAGAAAAACAAAAGATCCCAGAGCCGTCAACGCACACAAACACACGCATACGCCCCCTCATTCTCTCTCTCTCTCTCAAGCCCTCCATTCAACAGAAAAAATATTCCTTCATTCCTCCTTCTTCTTCCACGCTAAAGTGCCGCAAATACGCACACTCAAAGCGTTTAACTTTAATATAATTGATTTAATCACTAGAGCTCACGTTAGTAGCCACGACCACGACCGCGACCACCACCGCCGAAGTTACCGCGACCACCACCGCCGAAGTTACCGCGACCACCGCCGCCGAAGTTACCGCGACCACCGCCGCCGAAGTTACCGCGACCACCGCCGCCGAAGTTACCGCGACCACCGCCGCCGAAGTTACCGCGACCACCGCCGCCGAAGTTACCGCCGCCACCGCCGCCGAAGTTACCACGACCACCGCCGCCACCGTTTGCGCCTCGGCCGCCACGACCGCCGCCTCCACGGCCACCGCGTCCTCGCGGCTTTGGTGGATCAGTAAAAATACGCATTGGGGTGATCTGTGTCGGGGACACAAAAATGCTATCCCCTTCACTAATAGACCCTGCTTGGACCCCAGGGACGGGCTTCACCGAAAACATCACATCGGTAGTGCTTCCCATCACCTCATCAATCTTACCAATTTTAGCCTTATTCTCGGTGTACACAAACGCATTAAAACGCGGCACCACCTCAGGGATCGTGACTTTGTACACAAGGTCCCCCTCTGCAGCGTTCATGAAGGTGCCAATGAGCTCCAATGTCTCTGGTGGATCCGGTTCTGCTTCACGACCACCACCACGGCCACCACGACCACCGCCGCCCCTTCCACCTCGTGGGCCGCCGAAGCCGCGGCCACCACCACCACCACCGAAGCCGCCGCCTCCGCCTCTGCCAAACCCACCTCCACCACCGCGTGCCATTCTTGAAAACGCTGAGGAGCTGTTATACAAAAAGAAGAGCTAGGCGTTACAAAGAAGGAAGAAACAAAAACAAAAAAGATAAAAAAAAAAGCAACCCAATTAAATAATAAACTGTGAGCTCCAGAGCACGCAAAACCAAACAACTAACAAAGTACACAAACGTAAAAGTAGCGGTAAAAACATGCAAGATCCTTCGTTTCTCCCAGTCTTCACAATAGCACAACAGACATGGCAGCTGAGTCTACAAAGGTCTCACTTCGCCCGTCCATCCCATAATGTCCGTGTTCCTCGGCAATAAGCCGCTAACCAACGGTGCAAGACTCACCCTCACTGCACCTATTATGCAAATAGTAACAAAAGCAAAGAAACCTGGAAATAGTTTCATCCTCTTTATTCTCTGCTCACACTCAAACCCCCCACTGGTCATTATACATTGGGGAGAATGAAATGAACAGAAAAGGGACGGATGAATGTTAATAAAATCAACAAGGGAAAAAATATCACGAAGGAGCTTTTACACCATTCCACATAGTTGTCTATGGCAGTCGGCCACTTGCCGTCTGCACTGTAGGCCTCGTTGGTTGGGACGGTAGACAAGAAAACCTCTATCTGTCTCCACAGATCGCGGGTAACGTCCTGCTTATAGACAGTTGAGCACCAGTTAATCCAAGGTAGTATGCAAGGTTTTCCTTGAAAAAGCACTGCCCAAGCCTTCACGGCCATTTTATGAGGCATAAGACGAGCCCCCTCACCACGGATAAAATCGTAAAGAGCATTGTAAAACTCCTTGAAGGAGTCCCCTCTGGCTTCTTCCACCCACTCCACAAGAATCCTCTTCAAATCATGTAGCTGACCAATTTTGTATGTGTACATTGCTTTAAGCCAGTCCACGCGGGGAACACAATCGCCCCGTGTGACACCTATTTTCCAAATTAGTGCATACATCTCAAAAGAGTCCGGTTGTATTCCTAGTTCCCCGCAAAGACTGTAAATGCCTTTCATCCCATATGCATCCACCCCCTCAACTCGGTCACAGTTAAGAAGCCGGTTAAAGATAGCTTCCATGTCACTTCTGGCATTGCCTGTGAAAGAGATCTTGGAGGCAAACGAGCCTCGATGTGACCGCTTCGCGGCTGAGGAGCCCTTGGCTGCCGTCGTGTTCGTTGTGGAGCGTGGTGATCCACTAGCCAATTGGACCTTATTTATGAGGTTGGCTTGTGAAGTGGATAAACTTTTATGTATTCTCGGGGACATTTTGTCTTTTTTTTCCATTTTTTCCATTTTTTTTTTTGTCTGTTGCTGCCTGTCACTGCTTGACGCGCCCACAGCTGCGAGAAGAAGAAAAGGAGGAATAAGGCACAACACCCAACAGCAGCGCCATGAGGAATACCTTCCCGCAGAAGGTACCGCCCCTACCCACCCACCCGCACCCCCACCCCCTCACAGAATGTAAGTCCTCTCGCAAAACAAT